TTACGTTAAGAGGTCCATTTCCAAAACTGCCGTTTTGACTTTTTACCTAATCTGCCTTTCTTCAGAGCATGTTTAACTGGCTCAAAAACAGGGGCTGCTTTTCAATATATATTAGGAGCGAAGTTAGACTACAGATGAGACAAAGCAGAAGTAAATTCTTTTAAATGTAATTTTGACTCTAGAAGTATCAAGACAAGAATAGCTCCCAGCAAACAACAGCTTGAGATCTGTGAGTCTTGTTAGACAGTGCTTGCTGCAGGAAAGCACTGGAGCAATAACCAACTTCCTCCCAGTCCAATTAGAAGAAAGTCCCTCAGGAGGCTCAAACCCTTCCCAGCCCTATTCTTGCTCATTAACACTGGGTCTGTAACACAAGGCACCCTCACCTATTGTACATACCCTCTGGGGCAACATGGTCTGTCTCAGTCAGTTTGTTCTACTCTAGCATCCTCAGATCCAAACTGCTCAACTTCAATTGATCCCTGCTGGTCTAAAAACTCTCAGTCTGCTCCTTATTTTCTAAGTTCCCAGAGTAATCCTTTACAAAATCCAGACAACTATGCAAGTCCTCCTGGATTTCCAGAGTCTGAGAAAACTAAGCACTAATTGAGAAGAGAATAGTGCTAATGACTGACCACTCCTTAAAATTATTCCAGACAAAAACGAGCTGTCCCATCAGCACCAATGACCTAATCTATAACTAACAACACGAATTTCTCTCTTCCTGCATATCAGTATGCAACCCACTGTACTGATGCCTTAGTTAACATTACAATGAGACCTCACTTTTCTAAACCACCAAGGGGTAGAGAGAAAGCTGACTTTGAGTTTAGATTACCACTTTTGACTAAAGAAAAAGGCACTTAGCTGGGAAGCAGTAGTTTATATCTCTGTGTGTGTGTTTTAATAAAGGCACATACCTGATATCCTGGTAAGTTTGTAGTGACTATATGAGCAACCAGCAAGAGTACAAAATCAGCCTCCATCATAAGGGGAATGGCAACTTCCACTGCCAATGCAGAGACCATGAAAATAAAATCTGAAATGTACTCGTCTCCATATCTACCAAAAGCTGACCCATCCTTCTAATACTCAATTCCCTGATCACTCTCAAGCCACAGATGACCCACACCTTCTGAATGGCATTTCCTGAACACTCCAAGGGCAGTGACCACACATGCACTGGGGTAGTAATTTGAGTGTTTTCACTCTCAACTGGAGTTAATATTTCTGGTTCCCCCAATAACACCCAGCACAGCTTATCATACAAAGGAGGCACCCAGAAAATGCTGGTGATCTATCAGAATGACTTTGGAAAGGACTCTATTGACTTGACACTCAAATTGAGAACATGGCAAAAGACTCACAAAAACAGGTTACTTATGGGTTTGGTGCACTGGGAGGAATGATTACCTACCATCTGGGGTTTTCTTATCCCCTTGTTTTATTCCTCCTGTTCCTTTAGGCAAATTGGGTAAATCTGACTTAAACCAGGATACAAAAACTGTTTAGCAATACCTTATGAAAAGTTTTTTTTGAAAAATTGTGCTTAGATGAAGCTTTACAGAGCAAATTGGCTTCTCATTAAACAATTAACACACATATTGTTTCGTGACATTGGTTGCCGACCTCATCACATGTCAAACTCTTCCCTTCTAAACCCTGGGTTCCCCATTTCCACTTGTGCAGCTTTCCTGTCCCTTCCTGCCTTCTTGTCCTTGCCCCTGGGCTGGTGTGCCCATTTAGTCTCATATACATAGTTGAGCAGCGTGTATTACTGTTTGTTTTATGGGCCTGTCAAATCTTTGGCTGAAGGGTGAAGCTCAGGAGTGATTTCAGTACTGAGTTAAAAGGGTGTTCGAGGGCCATACTTTGGGGTTTCTCCAGTCTCTGTCAGACCAGTAAGTCTGGTCTTTTTTTTGAGTTTGAACTTTGTTTTACATTTTTCTCTAGCTCTATCTGGGACTCTCTTGAAAATATCTTTGGTTTTATTTTTCTGTAAACACACTAGAAAAGGTTCACAAAAAAGGACTCTAAACATGTTTAAATGATTTACTTTAAAGGAAAAATTGTTTTAAAAAAGCAGCATTTTTAAAGGGCAGCAGCTGTTGGATTCCACCTTCTCCTCCTCCTAGCGCATTCAGAGTAACTCTTCACAGTGTGAGATGTGTGCCCCTCCTCCCCCTCTCCACCCCCCAGGGGTGCTCTGCACAGACCAGATTCCACTCCGCTCACAGCCAGCCAACGGCTGGGCTCCAGCCTCTGGGGGTGGAGATGAGGCACAGCAGCGCTGACAAGCCCTCACCAGCAGCAGTGATGCAGAGCGCCGGAATAAACTCTGCAGCAGCTTCTCACGGTTGACAGGATGAGGCACAAGCTGTTTTCTCACATCCTCTCCCTCTTAAGGTTACAACAAACCAGCCTCTGATCCAATTAAAATCCCTATAGTTTATGTTTTCTTGAAGAAGGACAAAGCAAAGATGACCTGTGCTTGCTGGGAACATAACCAGCCATGTATGGTCTTGGCTGATAAATGAAGAGTTAAAAAAGATTAAAAATTTAAGTCATGACTGCCATGAAATTGTTTATTCATGGTAAGGTGTTTCAGGCAGTTACAGCTGTACAACAGTAAATTGTTAACAACCGTTTCCTGAAGAAAAATTTCCATTATAGATCACAAATAAGACAAAGAGCAGAGTGCAATGTTGCAGGGAGATCATCGTTCCAACTGATAGAAGATATGTTAGATGCAAGTTAAGAGGGCCTACCCTTTCCTGAAACCAGTCTCAAGAAAAATTATACTTTGCGGAGGATGACATTTACTCTAATTGTTGCATCTAATTAAAATTAAGGTAATTAAAAAAATTTCAAATGCGCTTTAAATTTGATGCAGTGCATAATTAAAAATCAGATTTTAAAAAATATCATTAGGGCAGTTGGGTGAAGGTTGGCATACGAGAGGGAAAAAACAGAACAGATTAGATCTCAGAAAACAGGAGGGATATGGCAGTCTGTCAAAGTTATTATAGGGGGATTTCTTTTGTTTCCCTTTTTAAAGACCAGAACTTAACAACTTTGAACATCTGTGCCCTTGCCTTCTCCAAGTATGCTGATGTTGTACAGCATTTCTTGTGTCAGTCTTCTCCCCAGCAGGAACCAAGCTGGTGAATCAGCAAAATGTCAGTATCTTCGGAAAGCTGCTACTATTATTTTGAGTTAGCAGCAGTGGAAAAAAAGAATGAATGCCGTGTTTTCAGAAATAAACTAGGTAATCTGTGTACTAATACACATGGTAAAAGGCGACTATGTAACTCTATCAGGGATGTAGTAAATTCCAAAGGGAAAAGACTCTTCAGAGCTCAATGTGCTCTAGAAAGAACACTGGACCGGAAATCAGGAAACTGGAGTGCTAACCTAACTTTGCCATCAGTTAGCTGTCCAATATCACAGACTCATTGATCAATCAATAAGGTTCTGGGTTAAGTCATCTCTAAGGTCTGTCAGATTGTGAAAATCTACCATTCTGTAGGTGAATTGAAATGTGAAATCACAACAAGAACTTTTAGTCACTAAACCCTCAAGGGTTAGTATCTTGAATAGGGCCAGTCATACAGTAGATACCCAAGATACCCAATATATATTTACTGACTGATGCTGCTTGAGGACTCAGACCAGCCTTTGGTTGTTCTGGGCCTAGCAGTGTCTGGCACATAATGAGCACTCAAAGAATGTCTACTGAATGAATTCATGACAGCTTATACCAAGCTCACTCGGAAACAAGAGAGGGTTCTCGTACAACCCAGAGCCCCACAGTGAACCCTGGGGAACACAGTCATCAATAATCTGGGGACTTGCAGAGCAATTCTTAATAATGTCTAACATTATATGAAGTATCAGAAACATCTAAAGAACACTCTTTAAGAAGCCTACATTAAAATTATTCACTGATTTATTTCTGCGAGAATTATCAGGCAGGAAAGAATCTAGTCAGACATTCTCTCAGGAGGGAGATTACCAGAAAGATGAAAGTAACATGAAGCAGCAGCAGATTCCCCACGAATATCACTCAAGCAGACTAACTACATTTGTCTCTTACCTTTGGAAATCTGGATTCAAACAAAACAACTACTGAAAGAGAATTTGGTTTAATGAACATAACCTAGTCCACAGGCACATCAAAAAGCTTTTGCAGCAAAAGCTGCTGCACGTCTGACAGCAAAGACAAAGTAGAAAAAGGTTTTGGAAGCCATGATTCAGATTTAGTTACAATTAACGTTTACTAAGTACCTACTCTGTGTCAGGGACTGTGCTCAGCACTTAAACAATCTCCTTTAATCCTCTGAATAATACTGAAAGGCAAAGGTTACTACTCCACTTTTGCAGATGAGAATACTAAGGCTTAGAGGGGCACCAGATTTCACACAAATAATGAGGCTGGGAATCAAATGCAGATTCTCTGTTTAAGTCTAATGCTCATTCAACAAATATCAAATACTACTGTGTACCTAGGCTTTTTTAAAGAATTGGGAACACAGCAGAGGACAAAAGAAATGAAAATCCCTGTCCTCTTGGACATCCTAATGTGCTTTCCACCACGGTTCACTGCCTTCTCTGGTCTCAACTCCACTTGGCCACCTGTTAGCGGAATGATGTCTAGATCAACAGATTCAAGTCCTTTCTGGCCCTGCCTCTATAATGGGCCCCCAAATCCAGATCCTGAAAATGAATGCTGTTAATGTGTGGACCGATTCATCAGGATGTATTCTAGTACTAATAAGAGCAAATAGGACAATTAAGGATTGCCCAGATTTATTAACAGATAAAACTAGGTTTGCAAATGAGTAAAGGGCAGCGTGTGTTTCAGGATGGGAGATAATTAGAATGGAAGGAGAACACCAGAGGTGAGAGTACACATCAGCAGAGACAAACAGGAGATGAGAGTAAACAGTATTTCCTCCAATGTGTCAGCCTTTCTACTGAGGACAGACCTGAAAGGATATCTGTATTATCGTGTCCAAGCAACCCGAGAAGAGACTGCACAGCATTCAGCTCCACCAGAAGGTGGTACAGGTCTGGCATGGTGGCCACCACGTGCATCTCCTGAATGATGTCATTTAGGTCCAGCTCGGATTCCATGAACCTAGGAGGGGAAAACAAGACAGCATCACTGAAAGGAATGTGGCGCTATCAGCACCGAGGAGCAAACAGCAACACAATCCAGACAGAGAGATGATCTGTCAAAGTGTCTACAACAGACCAACCAAGAAGTACACTCATCCAAACATCATACTGTCACACAATTTCCTTGGGAAATCGATTTCCTCATTACAAAAATCAATCTTGGATTCAGATCTCATTATAGGGTTCCTCTTACTCTTGCAGTCACAAGCTGCCTTTTTAGAGGCTCCTGAAGCATTTTGCAGCATTAAATGGTCTGCTCACCAGTCCTGTGGATTAGCTACCATTACCCCTTGGTATGGCAATTCATTCTGTTGTCCAGAACATAGTTATCCTACTAATCCAAAATGAGTTTCTCCTACTCCCCACTTCATATCAAGGGCCAATTATTCTCCTTCCCCCAAAGGAAAACACTTAGATTCTTCTGCCATTCCGAAATACCCTCCCCTCCCTCACTTCCCCTTCAGTGAGATGACTAAGACGCAGGTCCCAAAGTAAAGCAAATATAGTTTGAGGCATACCATAATCACCACCATATCTTATATAGCATGAAACTGCACTCACATTTCCACACCTGAACTTTCCAACAAACCTATACTCAGGCACTGAGAACAGAACTGCTTTGTGTTCACCTCCGCATGCCCTCCCCCCACTCAGGAGTATCTGACATATAAGAAATGCCCGCTAAGCTTTTGATGAACAAAACAGGAAGGTTTGTTCTGAGAAGGAAATGAGCTAGTTCATGTAAAGCAAGTAAATGATACCTGACAGAGAGGAAGTAGTGGTTAAACAGACTCTGGAGCCAGACTGCCTGGGTCTGACCCTGGCTTAGCCACCTACTTAACCTCTCCATGCCTCAGTTTCCTCATCTGTAAACGAGGATAATAATGTTATCTATCTTATAGGTAAAGAGTAAATGAGTAAATATGCATAAGGCACTTAGAACAATCCCTAGCACATAAAAAGCACTATATAAGTATTTGTTCTCATTATTATTACTACTGCTATTGTTATTATTATTATATGTCCGTTGTCCCTTCTAGAATGTAAGTTTAAAGACAGGAATTATATCTTTGTCTCTATATATCCACAGACTCCTGCTAAATTGAATTGAGGCCCTGAAGAAAAGGAACGTAAGCAGGGACTCTTTAAGTCATATACGACTCATCCACTTCCAGAGGTCGAGCGACTGGGCAGAAACCACCTCTCCAGAAAGGTTGGATTATGCAAGTAACGAAACCTGGAGACTGTAAATTCCTTAAAACATGCCTATATTTCAGACAATATCCCTCTCCACTATTTTTCCCCACTACTATTTTTAATCAAACTCTATAGGTCAGTTCTACTCTGTCCTATAATATTTATATATATATTTTTCTGATTACAAAATACTTTTTGTAGACAATTTGGAAAATAAAGACAATTCCTCAAAAAAGCAAACAGAAATCATCCGTAATCCTATTAACCTGAAATAATCATTTATAATAATTTGGTATGGTTAAGTCATTTTGTCAACTCATAGACCTTTTTTTTCCAAAAGTAAGCCTATACAGTATACAGTTCTACATCCAATTGTTATTTTTGTTAACATAGGCTGAACAATGCCCTTTATCATTAAATATTCTTCTCAACAGGGAGCCAATGCCTGACATACTTACTGTCAGTCCTTCTCTTCACGGCAAAACCCCTCACCGAGTACTATTAAGTACAGCACTCTACCCTGCTCAACCAGACAGACATAGCTTCAGAATCCTTCTCAACACAGTGTTCCAGGAGGAGACTACCAATCAATCACCAAGCGGGTGTGGGAGATGCACCTTATCTGCAACGCCCGTTCTAAATCATAAATTTTAAATAATTACATAGTATCCCCCTGGTGTGGAGGTACCATAATATATTTAACCAAACCTCCTTTGTCAGACATTCAGATGTTTTCCACTTTTCCGCCATAACAAATAACACGAAAATGCATGTACTCATTATTACTGTGTTAGGATAATTCCCAGGAAAGACAGTGCCAACTCAAACAGTATGTACATCTTACCAGATTTAGATACATTTTGCCAGGAAGGTATGGTTAAACCATTGCCCTGGAATAGATTCCGACTCATAGCGACCCTATAGGACAGAGAAGAACTGCCCTATAGGTTTTCCAAGGAGCAGCTGGTAGATTTGAACTGCTGACCTTTTGGTTAGCAGTTGAGCATTTAACTACTGCACTAACAGGGTACCAACAGTATAAAAAGTGCCTGTTTCCTCTCACCTGCTTTACAAGTAGTAGTATTTAAAATCTCCTCCAATTTGAGATGGGAAATATAAGTTACTTTTTATTTTGCATTTTGATACAAAGATGGCTAAAATATTTTTAATGTTACCGACTATTTGTGCTTCTTCTTTGTCCATTTTTGTATCAGGTTGGTGGTATCCTACAGGGCTCTACCCTTAAGGCTGTTTAGAACAACTGTTTCATTTTGTTGTTATTTCTAAACAATGGCTTGTGTGAAGATATACAGAAGGAAACTTAATGTCATAGAACACAAAGCTTAAGGAGCTTAAAGTGAACACACCAGCCGGGAGAATCAATTCACAAAGTTCCTGACAGGTAATAATGATGGTACAAATCTAACAGAAGGAAAATCACCTGGGATTCACATAAAGAACTGCACTGAACTATAAAAAACAAGTGCAAAAGTATGGGATGGGAAACATACAGTTCAGTTAGAGCCCACGTGTAGAAAGGATTTGATGGTTTTAGTCAACTGCAACTGCAATACAAATCAGAACCATAAAATAGTTCTGCCAGGACAGAGACTGTTTCTTATTCATTTCAGGACGCCCAGCACCTGGCATACTCCCTGGTCCACCACAGAAACTCGGCAGATGCCTGCCAAATGAAGGAACAGAGGCAAGTAGCTGCCGAAAATGTTTCTGTGGCTGCTTAAAAGAAGTATGATATAGAATTATCAAGTGATCCATGCTGATGGGATGACCCCAAAAGTTTGTGACCTGTTATGGGAACTCTACCTTAGGAGGGATAGGGAAACCAATTCAGGAAAGCAACCGAGATTACAAGGAGTCTAGATATCCTCTTATCTAATTGGCTGAAATTCTTTCTCATTCTAAGTTGAAATCTCTTAAGTCAGAGCTGCCAAATGATGGGGTAGGTTTCTTTGGAAGGTTAGATCCTTGTCACTGGAGGTAGGCAATAAAGGAGGATATAAAAAAAAGTCAAGAATTAGATGGGAGAACAGACTATACCTTTAGGCTCCCTTTAACTTTGAGATTATTCTCCCAAATATGTGGTCTTAATCCGACGTTTTTAAATTTAGCAAATCATAAAATTATCAAAACAAAACAAACTGCCAGCAGGGAAAGATCACAAAAATACCCACAAGAGTCTTGTGGACTCAAAAACAAGGCTGACGTGGGTCACACTCCCAGCCACACTATTTACTGGCTGTGTAATCACAGGCAGTGTATCAACAAATACTAATTGGGCACACACTAGGTACCAGTCACTGTGCTAGGTACTGAGGATATAATACCAAAACCAAACCCGCTGCCATGGAGTCGATTCCAACTCAGAGCGACCCTACAGAACAGAGCAGAACTGCCCCATAGCAATTCCAAGGAGCAGTTGGTGGATTCAAACTGCTGACCTTTTGGTTAGCAGCTAAGCTCTTAATCACTGTGCCACCAGGGCTCCAAGGATATAATAGATAACAAAATAGTCCCAGTTGCTGGCATCATGGAGTTCCAAGCCTACAGGAATACAATCTATGACATGCAATTAATTGTAAGGATGCCCAGTACTGCCCAATAGAAATGTCATGGGAACACAGAGCCCGGGGTCCCAACCTGGTCAAAGGAGTTCTAAGCCTGAGTTTCCTTATCTTACTATCTGAATTATAGTAAGGATTAAAAGAGATAATAAATATAATGTGCCTAACAATGCTCGTCACATAGTAGGTGCTCAATGAATTTAGATACCCTCAAGTGTGTTATGCTGTAACCAAAAAAAAAAAAAACCTTTTTTGTTGAAAAGTATATGCCTACTTCCATTAAGTACACATTTACTTTTTGCAGAGGGCTATCTTCAGGGATGAGGCAACCCTCAGCAAGAGATGACTCACAGCTGGGGGAAAGGATCAAGTTAGAGAGCAATGTGAAAGCAATAGAGCAACATATTAAAACAGTAACCCAGGCTGAGATGGGGTCATCAATTCTCTCTGGCATGATGGAGAATATTCTGCTAGCCTGCCCATGTACATTTGCTTCAAACCAGCAGGATGTTCTCCTTTAACCACAAAGGGAATTAGCAAGTGCCCAGCGAAGTTCAATAACGGCAGAAAAGCAATAGAAACCGATGAATTCTAACACAGTGGCATACCTAGGGTATTGTACCAGCCCTAGAAGCGTAGCACCACTGGGCAGTTTCTATTAACCTGGTACAGTCCAACATCCTTCCTCAAGCACAGTAACGTGTTAATTAAAAGATTAATGAGCTTGACTTGTATTTTTAAGCTGATTACTATGGTGAATTTATCTAAAAGAGAGGTGTCAGATGGTTGGACAGAGGCGCAATTTCAGAGCTTACCATAGGTACCATTTTCCCTAGATACGCCGTTGGCCATACTGAGGTAATAGAAACTGCTCAGTGGCATCACATACCCAGGGTCAGTGCAATACCTGCCATACCCTAGTTATGCCTCTGGCAACCACAAAACCAGCAATCACTGCCCGGGCTCTGGGCTGACTAGGAGAATAACATGGCTCTCCCTCACCCAACTAAATCAGCAGTTCTCAAAGCACGGTCCTATGGAGGTGGCTCAAAATCCTTTTGGAGGCCTGCAAGATCAAAACTATTTTTGTAATAATACCAAGACATCATTTGCTGTTTCCACTCTCATTCTCTCAAGAGTATACAGTGAGGTTTCTAGAGAGCTACACATGTGATGGTATCATTGCCCTGATGGCTAATGGAATGTGTGCCTGTGTATTCCTGTGTTTTCTAGAATTTTCTAAAATAAGCTCTTTGGGGTACTCAATTTAAGAGTGCAAAGGCGTCCTGAGACCAAAAAGCTAAACTAAATAACTCTGTCCCTGCAGAAAAGAAGAACTAGTAAAGGATTTACTAGGGAAACAGCACATTCAACTCAATGAGATGTCTGGGGGAAAAGATCACACGGTGCAAAGTGGAGGCTGCATAAGGAGAATTGTCAATTGAATCTGAAACGCAGCTAAATGAAGAGAGGCATTTTGGGTATGCAATCAAAATGACAATTGCATATATGGGAAAATAAATTTGAATGTTTCTGATCTCGACTGGAAAGTTTCATTCAAATATGCTCTAGCAATTTTCATCTTAATCGCACCTTGCCGGTCTAGAGAATTATGAAAGACACTGCGCCAGTAAGAATTCAAGAGCTCAAGGTTAAAACACAGCGTAGTTTCCAAACTGCCTTTTGGCATGAAAAAGAAAAAAAAAAAAAAAGGTTCTTCATGCATGATTTCAATTTTCAAACGTTCAGATGTTTAAACACTAAAATAGTACATAAATTTTGACTGAATGGAAAACACTTTTAAAAAACATAAATAAAGTATCAATTTTCTTAAAACTAGTTGGTGAACGGTAACACTAGAGCATCAGCAGTACAGAAGAGGTAGATGGTAAACATAACTTGCAGAAACTCATTATTCTAAATTGACAGAAGTACACCTACCAAGTGGACAAAAGGCAATATTATAAATTGGATTTCTAAAATTTCCAGTGTTATCAACCTACGATCTAACGTTCTCATATATAACACATCCTTAGGTTCTGAGGGTGAGGATGTAACAAACACGTCATCAGCTATATAAGATCTCTCATGTTTACTGAGCACCTACAGCATGGCAGGTACAGAGACAAATAAGACGCAGTCCATCTCCTAAAAGGAACAGAATCTAATGCAGTAAAGAAATAACAATAAAACAAATAGCAAAGTGTTAAAGATCAATCACATCATTGTGGGCAAGGATGTAGCTGCTGGTAGGGAAATAAAAGGACACAGTGGGAAATTTGGTAGTAGCTACCAAATGTTTAAAACGTACACACCTTTCAATCCAGGAATTCAGCATTTAGGTATCGATCCTATAGAAATAGATATACATGAAGACACCTGTACAAGAAGGTTTATTGTAGCATTGCGTATAAAAATTAACATTTAAAACAACCAAATGTCCATCAATAGAAAAACAGCTAAATAAATCATGGTATATCCAAACCATGAAGTACTATGCACCAGTCAAAAAGCATGAGGTAGATATGCATGCACTAACATGCAAAGATCTCCTGTAACTGTTATGTGGTCAAAGAAACTGAGGTGCAGCATGATTTATGTAGATAAAATATGTTAGCATATATGCATATGTAAATAAGCATATAGAAAATGATATGTAAATTAGCATGCACAAACGATCTAAAAGGATCCTCACAGAATCGTTCACAGGAGTTACCTCTAGGGAGGGGAACGCAAAAGGGGTCAGTGCAGTGAAGGAAAACTTGCTTTTTACTCTAATTATGCACTGCTGGTATTTTTTACAATGACAATCTATTTATGTATTATTTGTGTAATTACACACACACACACACACACACACACACACAGTGCAATGTGACAGGTGCTATCGTACGGTGAAGGCAGGGCTTCCAACCGGTTTGAACCCCTGCCGAGAATATGTATTTCTAACAAGTTTCTGGCTGAGAATTTGTATTTCCACTCCAGATATACTGAATCAGAATCTGCATTTTAATAAGATCCCCAGGTGATTCTTATGTATAACTTCCTGGGAACTTGTTAGAAATACAGATTCTCAGCAGGGGTTCTAACCAGACCAAACATGTTCGAAGCCCTGGGTGAAGGTCAGCACAAAACCTGATAGGACGCTGGTGCTGAGCAAGCTGAACTGTGATCTAGCTACTCCTACTGTGAAGGGGGCTGTGACCCCAGGTCCAGTGCCTAGTTTCTCCTGGCTCCTCAGCCACAGTACAGGGAGAACACAGTGAGCCACAGTACAGGGAGAACACAGGGGACTGCACTGGTCTCACAACATTTCTGTGAAGACTGGATCCTCTATGCCCTATGGGACCTCTGTGCCTCTGTTCACACTATTCACATTGCCTGACATGTCTTTCTGTGTCCTTTTCTGCCCATTAAAATCAGAACCACTTGTCAAATCCTAGCTTAAATACCACCTCTTCTGTGAAGCCCTCAATAGCCCAACTTGGTATTCTCCGTTTCTTCCTCTATGTCCCATAGCATTCGGCTTGTATCTCTTTTAAGGTGTACATTTCCTTCTACCTTGCATTCACAGTGGAGATCCCTAGTAACCTATAAACTTGAGTGAACAGTGTATTATTCAACTCTTAATTGCCTAGGGGCTGTGGGCATATTAAAATTCATTAAAAGTGTATGTCCTAGGAAGGAGAAATATAAGGAGGGAAGGTAAAGATTTAGGACATTAAGATCTGTATAAATACGAAGATCCCTTTAGTTAGGATTCAAGACTGACTAAAAGATACCAGATTCCTCAATATAGCAATTCACAGTGCACCGAGGTGCTAGTGTAATAACAATCATATTAACTACCATTTCATGAGCACCTACTGTGTACCAGGTGCGGGGCAAAACACTCAAATATTCTCATTTGATCTTCATAACAACCCAGTGAGGAAGGTATTATTTCCTTATACAGATAAGAAACATGAGGCTAAGAAGGAAAGCGACTTATTCAAGGTCATGTGGAAGTCACATCCATCTACCTCCAAAGCTTCTGACATCTTCTTAATAGTAAAGTTATCACAAATGGTAGCCATGGTCAGTTTTGAGCTTTGAGAAAAATAGTGCAAGAGTTAACATAGCAGGCCTGATCTGTAGAGGGGTCTGCCTGTAGGGCTGGCGCTTGGCTGGCATCTGGGAATTTTGCTTTTGAAATGTTCCCTAAGTGATAAGGTTGCTTTGCCCACCTAGGGCACTGAACATCTGCTTTCCTTCGGGGAGTCTGGATTTTGGTAGGTGTGGCTGGCAGAGAATGCCTATATGACCAGCCTCCAATAAAAACTCTGGACTCTGGGTCTTAAATGGGTTTCCCTAACCCACTGAAACCACTGCACACGTGTTGATGCATTTCACTGCTCGAGAAAGAAGCATGTCTGTCGACCTATTCACTGGGAGGGAGAAAACATAGGAAGCCTGTGCATGGATTTCTCCAGACTCTGCCTGATGTATCTTTTTCCCTTGCTGATCCTGTTGTGTATCCTTCTGCTGTAATAAACCATAGCCTTGAGCACCACTGCCTCTAGTCCTATGAGTCCTTCTAGTGATTTCCTGAACATGTGGATTGTCCTGGGACTCCCAAAATAAATCACAAAAGCCAAGGCAAACAAAACACACAAATAAAAACCAAAGCCACCTCAGAGGAGAAAGGATGTATATGCATCAGCAAAACAGGGCCTTACTTCTCTGGATTGTCTGGAAACTTAATCCGCAACTCTTGGTTTTTGTACGATCTCTTTTCAAATGTGAGGATCATTTTCTTCACTGAGCTTTCATCCAGTGGTTCCTCCTGGTACAAAGGGACAAATGCAACAACTTCAGTCCACAGGGATTTTTCGTTTACTATCACCACTTTTTTCCTGTGTTCCTCATTGGGCTTCTATGTTCCACCACACTCTGCCATTTACCTCTCTGGTTTAAACATACAGTCCACACTTTGTCTCTCCCACTAGAATGAGGGCTAAGAGTCTACGCCATATGCTCTTTTGTATTTTTCTGCACGTCTCACATAATGCCCAGTATCTACAGCAAAGTAAATTCGTAAGGAGTTAAAGACTCATTAATTCAACAAATATTCTTGAGCACACAGTATGGCATACAGTAAGCAACAATGTTCAACACTGTATAATGTTTATCTTGTCCTTCTCCTTTGTTGTGTAGATAAGACTCAGGTTAAGAAGAACTTGTTCAGTCAGTGATAGGGCCAGCGATAGGGCCTCTTGGTCTTTCTCCCACACCAGGGACTGGTCCACAGGCCACATCGGACCTACTACCTATTCTTGTATAGCTCATGAGTTAAGAATGGTTGTTTGTTAGCTATAGTCGCTACTTTGCATTTCTTACACATTACTGTGTCTAGTCCTCACTAGCTGCTAAGAAGAGAATCAGACAAGTATGTGGAATGCTGACATAACATCAAGAATTTAGTATTCTTGCCCAGAGGAAGCATAAAAAAGCAAGACTATACAGAGTTTTCTTACTTCATACAGTGGAATAATACCTACAAAGGTAAATAAAGTGAACTTTTTGAAAACGGAACCATTTCCCCCCCAAATCTACACATTTCAGAAATGTTTTATCTTCAGTTTCCTTTCCAGTTTGAATTAACATGCTATAATGCACTCTGCCTCTCTAACACTCTCCCAATTCCCAGCTTCACAGCTTTGTAGTCATTGACCATAACTCACACCTGAATGCAATAAAGAAACTGCTATTACAAGAACCTGAAATGGATCCTTCTGGAAAACACTGTATCATCCCATAATTTTGTAACTATTCAAAAATGTTAGCTATTATTTTATTGTTAAATTTTTATTTTCATATATTGGGTTTTAAGTGGGAGACACCTATAAACTCATTTTGGGCATGACGTAGTTTTTTAGATTACATCAATGACTCCTGGGTCTTGAGGTACTCTGCTGGTCTCGCATCCCCTCCCCAGAGTGTACAGTTTAAAGAGAGGCTCCCTAACATGTAAAAACTGAAGTCAGTGTCCTGGATCAGTCAGGACTCAGAACGCAGCTTCACTACTAACTGGCCATGTGGCAATGTTACTTTCCTGAATATATTCTTCAAACCCTCTAAGTCCAATTGATTCTACCTCCAAAGTCTTTCCTGAATTTATCCACTTGGCACTTAAAATTACAAATCCTTCACATGGCCTATAAGGAAGATGTTGCCCAACCTCAAACTGGGGCGTATATCCCTGTTGCTGAGCTATGCCTACTTGTTCACAGTGCCTGGCACACAGCAGGCACACAGTGAAAACCTGTAGGTAGGAAGGTAGACAGGAAAGGAGGTAGGGAGGAAGGAAGATGTTATCTTTCAAGATCACAGAGAGACCTAAAGAAATGATATACATTAAATTGTTTTGTAAACTATATGATAATTATATTATATTAACGTAAGCTGTTACTGTTATTACTAGCAACAGGCACATTGTACCCCACATACCAGTAGACTTTAATTAAAATAATCTAAATTTCTAGGAATGGGTTAAATCGCTTTTAAATGACCTCAATATCCACTGCTTTTACTTCCCTTAGCTAACATCTTGTCTACCCTATAGATAAACTATATTAATGTTAATACAGCTCTCATGGGATTTCCAAAGTCCTCATCTCTCCAGGGTTTGGCCTTCCCTCCTTTAATTTCTCTCCAACACTGGGGGAAAACTGAATTATCAGTCTTACTCATTGGCCACAGCAGTATCTCCAATAGCTCAACTTCAGAACCCAGAGGTAGATTTCAGAAAGATGAAAGCTGGTGATGTAGCACAAAAAGGACAATAATATTTTACAAGTTCACGTAACTTTACAGGGGCAACCATCACTTTTTTTCATCAAATGGGACTTTGATAGCAGTGAGGAAATAACTCCTGGACTTGTAGCCTTCCATGTGCCATTTTTACAAAGTGATCTCTTTTTCCCTGTCCCTTAACAGAAGGGCTAGTCCCACATTACATTTCTGTCTCCCAGGCTAGAAACCACTTACCCATGACAGCTACTATCCTAATCCTCCAGAACCTGCCTTGCCCTACGTGGGAATTATACCTGCCAATGAACTGTCGCTGCAGGGCTAACAGATTGAGCAGAAGCTGGTGAGGAGGGCGAGAGGGAGGATGTGCTACACACACTGTCTAAGCCCTGGCAGAGCTGCTGCCCTCAGAGAGGAAATTCAGAAATTCACGACTGTCTCCCACCACAGATTTTCAAAGCGTCATCATCTTTTAAGGGCAGACCTCCAAATTAGCACCGGCGCAAAGCCTAATGAGGAGAGAGCTATTGTCATAACACAGTAAAGACCTTTTTGGAATATGAATCTGTTTTTTTTTCCTTCTCAGATTCACACTCCAGTTTTAAATCCAAACTTAGCATCATGTCTTTGAGGGAACCGAAAAACAGCTGGCTCTTAAGAATCTATTTCCATAATTCATATTGAACAAAATGACAGAGTGAAATAACATACAAGTTAACATTTAAGGATTTAAAAAGACACAAAGGTAAGGTCATTTTATTTTTAATCATTGATATTTTACCCTCTAATCTTTTCAGGTTCATCCATTTATTCATTCAATAAATATTTATTAAGAATCTACCAAGAGCTAGGCACCATTCTGAGTGCTAGAGATACAGCTGTGAACAAGACAGAGCCATCCCTGTTTCCATGGAACTTACATTTTACTGTGGGGAAGGGACACAAATGAGTAAAATAAGCAAACAAGAATTTCAGATCGTAAGTGCTATGAAGTCAGTAACAGAATAATGTGGTAAGAGAATAAGAGAATGACATGTGGGGCTACCTCACAGACAGCGAAGATCTCTCTTAAGGAGAAAACTGAGACCTTACTAAGAAACTAGCCATGCAAAGTATTAGGGGAAGAGCATTCCAGCAGAGGACATAGAAGTAAAAAGGTCCAGAGGCAGGAATGAGTGTAAAGGCTCTAAGGCATCACCTTCCCTAAAATGTATTTTTTCAGTCACACCTAAATACCAAACCCCATAGTTTCCTTATGAATTTCTCCACCTTTGTTGCTTTGCTAACGCCATTTCCTCTGCCCAAACAGCCCTTCTTCTATTTGTTTGACTGATACAATTCTACTCCTCTTTCAAAGACTAGACCAAATGCCAATTCACTAGTTCAAAAACCTAAGTGCCTTCTATGTGACCCCGTGCAGGAAGCCCTCCCTGACCCTCCCCAGTCAACACCAATAGCCCCTTCCTCTCTGTTCCCACAATTTAGTGCTTTGGCCTCGATTATAGCCCATGCACCAGAATCATTTAAAAACTGTATCCATAATATTCTTTACACTTTGTAAAATACTTTGTCACCTCCATTATCCCACTGAACTATCACCTCAACATTGAGAGATAAGTATTCTTAACTCTGTCTTACATACGAAGCTGGAAAGCTCAGAGAAGTATCTGGCCCAAAATTACACTCTACAGCTACCGTGTCAGAGCCAACCGTCTCAGCTCCCATCCCATCTCAGTCACGTTACCTCTTCCTCCTCCTCCTCTCCCTCTCTATCAATTATCTGAAGTAGCCTTTTTTTGTCATCATCTGCTTCTTCTACTACAGTCGTTTCCTCTTCCCGATATCGGCCGCGTTCACGAGTACCACCTTGTCTCCGACGCATTTTCAGCTCCTCCTCTTCATCATCCCGGGGACGTTTTGTGCCCCTGTTGGGCTGAGAAAGAGAGAAAGGAAACATAGGATTTTAGAGCTAAAAAAAACTTAGAGGGCACAGACAGTATATATTCTAAAAGCCTTCAAGAATTCCCCAATGACTGAAAGGCACCATAGCATACAATTTATCCTACAAAACACAGTAAAGCTTTGAGTGGTTATTTTTCAGACCCTTAATGAGTCTATAAATATACCACTAACATCATCTATAAGTTAGTTGAGTTTTTTTTAATAGAAATTTTTTTTTAAACATGCTAAGTTTTACCACTTCACTGAAGTTTCTGTGTATTTAGAAATTGCAAGGAACAAAGCCACTTTGAGATGGGGACACTGGGTTAGACTCACTGGTTAGGATTCAACCCACAATACCAATCCCTTAGCACATTATTTTAATTCATGTCTAAGAAAGATCACAAAGCCTTTTTACAGTCACTCACAAGTTTCAGAGAATATTACATATGTAACTCCCAAGGGTCTACTACACTACAAATACCTACTTCACAGAAGAGTAAAGGCCCAGAGGTCAAGTATTACACAAGGTCACAAAATCAACAGCAGTGCTGAAAACAGAACCAGCACTTCTTGACTCCTAGTCCAGGGCTCTTTCCAGCATACTATTAGGACCTCATTTTGCGTTTTATACCACAATCCATGGAGGAGTTCTTACAATTGTTTTCCATTAAAATAAGAATAAAGCAGAGCACTACTGAAATGGGCTTCAGAGATGAGGAGAGATCACACTGCACCAGACTTCAAACAGCCCAAGGACTCTATTCAGCTCAACTTACTACTGGAGCAACCTGGGCACATCATTTAACCTCTCTAAGCCTTAGTTTCCTCATCTGCAAATGGAGATTTTAACTCTTTTCCCTGTGAACTTCATAAAGTTGCTTCTGAAGTGGAAGAACTCTAGATTATATCAGTACTAAGCAAATATATAAAATTATCATTACGAGGTAATCCACATGATTCTGTCTTCCCGAACACAAAACATCTGTGTTAGGCTCCTTGCTGAGCTTCTCTTTATGTGTTATAATAACTGTACCCACCAACAGTGTGTTAGGTACAATGTCGTAGGTTACTACCAAACATAAGAAAATGCCACGTTCATTGCCAGCCTGCTAAGTCATTTGGTAATAACAGACAAATTTCTATTACACGTTACACATCTCACCTTGTGACTTCTAACCCACACAGTTACTGAACTCCACTATCCCAGCAGTGGAAAGTCATTCCCCTCTATATTCATCTATCCTGCTGGTTCCACATTCCAGGTGCTTCAGTAAGTCTAAACATATGACATTGCTTAGAAAATTCACATTAGACAATTTGGTTTGTGGGGCACCACCTGCTATTTTTTGCTCCGTTCCCAGTATCCCTGAGATAGATTATAATTTCATATGATCACGCTCTATTTCCATACCCACTGTCGTTGAGTCGATTCCAACTCATAGCGACCCTGTAGGACAGAGCAGAATTGCCCCCATAGGGTTTCTGTAAATCTTTACAGAAGCGGACTGCCACATCTTTCTGCCAAATCACCTATTTCCATAAGTACAAAAATTATAAAGATCTATTACTACCATTACTGGTCTACCCTAAAAAAGAAAGAAAGATGTCAGTAATCTCAGACTACAAGAAAAAGAAGGTGATGGTTTTCTTGTGAGAAGGGGAAAGGAAGGCAGTCTTCAAACCAGAAATCTACAGCTCCCCAGCAGGTAAGGAACTTCAGCCCCTTGGGGGCACTAATTCTTTCAGGCTCATAAAACAAGCCCTGCTGTGATTCTGATTAGCGTGAGACTGCTGTAGCAGTCAAGTCAAAGCATGAGCTCTATAGGTCTCCATGGAAAGGAGATTTCTAGATTGTTTTATCCCTGAGGGCAGAGGGAAAAGGCAGTGGACCACAATTAAAAGGAGAAAGCTAACTACTGCCACAGTTAAGAAATGTAAAGTGGAAATAACATTAGCAGTATCTCTTTCGAACACATCTGCAAACCCACTTCTTTGAAACAAACATTTCAGAGGTAAGGGGAGGGTTTCATCTTTACCTCTAACAATTTCCACTGAAATAGCACTTTCTTTCTACAGAACTTAAAGTACCTCCTTTAATCTTTACCATATCTCTAGGGAGAAGTAGTTAACAATTCTATTTTATAAGCAGGGAGACAGGATGGCCAAGATTCTTTCATAAACTCTTGCAAAGACAATGTTGGTCCCTTCAAAATGTTGAACCTAATTTCCGGAGAGGTTGGGATTCCAGAACCCTAATTGTGACAGATGTGAGAGACTTTCAGGCAAGAACACACACTCATGAATTTGTCATATGAGACTTTGGCTAATCATTCATTCAACAAATCATTTATTAAAGAATTCGAAGGCTTGAAGGGTCCTAAAGTAATCAGCTACTCCAGCAGCAGCCGCAGGCTTCCAGGAGAGTATGTCTAAATGGGGACACAAGGATAGACGGGGCCAGTGTGGATTCTTGAAACAAGAATAGCTTTGTCAACCTTTATAAATAGTCTAAGTACAACATCCCTAAGAAGGCTCTAGTGATCCCTCTGTTCACCAACTGTTTCTCCAACCCTCTTGCCCCTCACAGAGGGTATTCGGCTTCAGCACTTCTCATGACAACTCTGTGGCAGGCACAGCAGAACCCATTAGAACACTCTGATATGGCTCTTTCGCCAACATATCAGCTCCCATGGCCCTCTCCAACAGATGGGTAAGCCATTCAAAGTCCCTGATATATTTTATTTCAGCATTTTTCTCTTCCAACCCTCAACTGTTTCTTTTCAAACACTAACATTCCAAATAGAAAAGTTTCTACTCATTTCTGATATTTGACCACTCTGAATAATCAAGGCTAGGATTTCCTTCCTCAAGAAGTATTTGTTAAATGTCAACTATGCATAAGGCAAGGAGCCCTGATGACACAGTGGTTAAGTGCCAGCTGTTAACTGAAAGGTTGGTGGTTCAAACCCACCAGCTGCTCTTTGGGAGAAAGATGGGACAGCCTTGGAAACCCTATGGGGCAGTCCTACTCTGCCCTACAAGGTCTCTATGAGTCAGAATCAACTCGACGGCAATGGGTTTGGTTTTTTTATGTATAAGGCACTGTGCCGTGTACTGGGGACCCTAAGTGTGAATAAGACAAATAATGCCTTGCTATCAAAGGGCTTAGGAGTCTAGAACAGAGCTGTCAAATTGAAATATAGGTCAGATGTAATTTTAAATTTTATAGTAGCCACATTTAAAAAATTAAAAAAAACACAACAGGTGAAATTCATTTTAATAACATTTTATTTAATCCAATATATCCAGAATATAATCATTTGATCATGTAATCAATATAAAATTTACTAATATGATATTTTATGTTCTTTTTTTCATACCAAGTCTTTGAAATCTGGTATATATTTTATACTTACAGTACATCTCAATACAGACTAGCCACATTTCAAGTGTTCAATAATATGGTAGCTAAGTGGCTACCATACTGGACAGCACAGGTCTAGGAGATTTCCATTTGAGAGATTATAGTTCTCTGATAAAGCCAAAATGAAACTGTCTTTCTAGCAACACTGAATGAAATATGGAGTCCTATAAAGCTGAAGTTCCAATTGTTTGTGAAGGGTCCACACCAAAAATCTTGAAGTTAACACACTGACCCGGAAATAAACTTCCACATTTTATTTACCAAATATTCACCCCTGAGAGAACAATCAGTTATATAAAATAAAGCAAGTAAAGCAAGAATATGTGCATGGGCAAGCTGCTCAAAGCTGTCAAACTGATTTCACTAAAAAAGAGCCAAAGGGCTCTTGACCCAGAAAGGGAACTTAAAAGACTCAGCCTGTCAAAGAGGCCAACAGCTCAGTCCTGAGCACTCCTTGTGTCTTACACAACCAATTCCAAGAGGCTTAAGCTATTCTTATCAGTCATCTTTGCAGATTAATTTGTTTTGGTATTTGAAAGGTGTTTGGAATCCCTCAAGATGAAGGAATGACAAAAGAAACTCTCCTTAATGAAGTCATTTCTCTGCTTCTGCTGCTTTCAGGACTAGAGAAAAAAATGATTAACTCTTAACTTTGGATGTACCAGAACATCAGCCTTTAAGGGTTTTTACAACCTTCTACATTCCCTGCCTTACTCCAAATAGGTGGTGAGTGGTATATATGTACTCACTAAGCATTTGCTGCCACTCAACCACACACTGGCAGCCTTTCTAGGACACAAAAAGGATTCCTGCTTACGCAAAGCTCACAGTTGGCTTCAAGACTATATAGATGATGCCTTTACCTTCCAATAATCTTGAAGCTTATTGTATGTGCATATGTGTGTTTGTGTATATATCCATCCATCATCCACACCTCTGGAAACAGAAATCAAGACATCTCCATGAAAGCTTTGAAAGAGTTAAAAAATTAAATAAGCCATCTGCCTAGGACACTCCCTGCGTACCCAGATAATATCTAACCTAAGCTTTAGGTTTCATTTTTTCCTCTTTCCCCTTCTCTCTCTCTCTCTTTTTTTTTAATTAAAAAGCAGTGAGAAGCTGTAGCTATAATGAGGGGTTGTGGGAACATGGAGTTATATTGGGGTCAAAGTAATGTTCCATAGGAAGAGGCTATATCACCAGAACGAATCCTAAATGAAAACTCCACTATGATGCCAACTCTGCTTCCTCTGAGCATGCAATCTATATTATCACATTTACAGTCTGTCTTAACCTCAATTAGACTTGGGGGAGGGGGAGGGACTTCTATAATAAACAATAATGGCATCATTATGATAAATTATGAAAACACAGAGTGCCATTATTAATGCGAAAAGCATATTTGTAACAGGATATAACAGTGTAAATTTGTTGGGGGGGGGGGTTTAAATAGCTCAACACACCAAGACTCCTGGCTAAAAAAGGAGTAATTCATAAAGGGTACGTTAATGGTAGAAAAAGATGTCCAATTCTATTAAGGAAATGGAAAAAGGCAAAGGAAACCT